AGCTGTTGTTCAGCATCTTAGCTGTGGAGGGCAGTGTCACTGGCCCTCATATGTGGGATCCGAACCAGGGCCCTCTGGCGTCCCAAGCCAGTTCTCAACCATCGTGCCACTCAGCCGGCCCCTAGGGTATTTTGAAGGCATAATTGACAAGCCTGGACGATTGGCTCAATTTGAAGGGCTGAGTAGAGGAACCAGTGTGTAGATTCCAAAGCTTTGAGCTTAGGGGCACACTGGTATGAGCCATAGAATGGAAAGGTTAAGAGTGTTGAAAGGTCATGAGTTCTGTTTTAGAAGTGGCGTTTCATTCTTCAGAAAGAGACCTATCTTTCTCACATATTTACGTGGCTGCCTATGTGGTTGCCCGAACAGATCTGCACCTGGAGTGCGATGGAGGAAGCCTGGTGAACAAGGACAGGCCTCTCTCTTACCCACATCCTTGGGTTTCTTAGCCCACAAGACACCAGGACCAAAGGCTTCCACTGGACATCAGATGGCTGCTGGTCTCTCAGGGTGGGCTCTGGCCAGAATGAGACAGATGCAAACCAGTTAGCCCAAGAAAAGAGCTCAGAAGCTTACTGCTTGATGTGACTTCAGAGGAATGCTCACAGCCGTCGGCTGACAAGTAGGCACTGACCAAATTTGGCCCCATCAACACATTGGAAGGCAGCCAGCCAAGTTGTTAAATGCAAACTGACCCATCACAGGAAACAAGTGAAGGGCAAATGACCATTCCACTCTGCCTCCTTCCCAGAGATCACAATCCCTGCATCTGGATTCACACAACTTTAAATGTCAGCAGCCCCCAAACTACATCAAGCTGCAAGGCCCCCCAAAAGGCAATTGCTCTGAGGCTGTTCAAACTTCAGCTGAGAGTTCGGGACCCTTTCTGCATCCCAAGGACCTAAATGGGGGCTCCCTTGGCAGGCGGTGCCTGGCATAAGCTAACGTTCACAACGTATCATACACTTGTTTCAAACTGGCTGTGAATTTTAGAGCATAGATTAATAGCTGCCTCTTGTGCCTGTGTAATCCTTCGTGCTAACTAGCATCTAAGCCTCACTGTAACAAGACCACTCAGATTATTTTGACACATTTGGCTTTTCTCTGCTTCCAGGCATCTTGGAAATCCCAGGTGGGTCCACATGGCACGCAGCATAGTGGGCAGGTCTTCAGGGTATAGGTTTTGCATATGGAGCAAAGCTGGTGTCTCTGCTTTACTTCTGCCAGCTGCTCTGACCCTGGGAACATTAACTAAACTTTCGAAGCCATGGTCTCCTTATCAATAAAATGTGGATAACAATACCTTGCTCAGAGTATTGTTGTGTTGAATACATTATATGTAAAGGCTATATTAGTTCTCTATCGCTACATAACAATTTTCCCCCAAAACACAGTGGCTTAAAGCAACAATACGCATTCATTGTCTCATAGTTTCTGAGGATCAGGAATTTAGGTGCGGCTTAGCTGGGGGTTCTAGTCTGGGACTTCTCATATGACCCAGTCAGGTGTCAGCTGGAGCTGCAGTCATGTGAAGCCTGGACTGGGGCCAGCATCCACTTCTCAGGTTGGTCTCTATATGGCTGCCAAGTTGGTGCTGGTTTCTAGCAGGAGGCCTCTGTTCCTCTCCACATAGGCCTCTCATAGGACTGCTGGCGTGTCCTCCGAGCATGGTGATTGCTTTCTCCAGAGCAATCAAGAGACCAAGGCAGATGTTACAATGCCTTTTATGACTTAGCTTCAGAAGCCACACATCACCACTTCCACTGTAGTCTACAGGTCATATAGATCAGCCCTGATCCAACATGGGAGGGAGCTATACAAGGGCATGAATACCAGGCAGCAGGGATCGCTGAGGGCTCTCTTAGATGCTGGCGAACACCAGGGCTTGCCTGGTACCTATCAATTGGGTTGTCGGGAAAGTCATGATGTATTTTTCTATGTTTTTCAAAGCAAAAATGCGCCATGACTTTCCCAATAAATGGTGGCTGCTAATAGGATTATCATGTGCTTCTTATCACTTCCACAAAAAAGAACCACACCTTTTACTTTGCTCTAAAGTGGCCACTCATTGCTTTTCTACTCTCAGATCTAGTGACCTGCCAGTCCCATGGTGATGTCTGGAAAAGCAACACCCCCATGGCTTCACAAGTGTGACTCAGACACATTAAAGATGTACTCTTGACAATTCGAACCCTTCTATTTCTTTCCTCAATTGTATAATTAGAATCTTCAAGCCACTTCTTGTTTTTTTCTGATGAGTTGAATGCCACCATCAGCCAGGATCTGCAAGCTATAAGCAATCATTGCAGCAGGAAAGATGCTGACTTGCAGTTTGTGGTCCAGCTCTGCTAGGCAGAGGGTAGTGACCCAAGTCACCACTGGGACAGTAGCAGAGACTGTGCTGGACATGAGAATGTGGCATTAAGGGGCAACTAAAGAAGCGTGTCCTCCCCCGGGAGGTGTTTATCAGCAGCAGGCCAAGCACCTGGTTAATTGCAAGCCACTGTCGTGGGGATTTGCCCTACATCATCACATCAGATGGCTGCACATTCGATGAAGTTTGGGTTCGCTAGTGATAGGATGGCTGAGGACACCTTAGTGGCAGAAGCTGCCAGTCGTTTTCCAGTGTCATTTCTTCCCTTCTTCCACAAGAAGAGAACCCCTAACTTTTAGCTGGGAACAAGGCACCCCAAAACAAAAACCACATTTATCAGGTTCCCTTGATAGAGTTCTGATGAGTTGGGCGTAAGTGGAAGTCATGTGTGCACCTTCTACAGAGGGAGCAAGCCTTTCTCCTCTTACTCCTTCCTGCTTGCTGGAATGCCAATCAAATGACTGGAACCCCAGGAGCCATTTTAGACCATGAAGTGACTTTGGGAATGGAAGCCACTTGTGGCAGAGCAAAAAAGATGGAAGAAACCTAGGTTCCTGACACCACAGAGCTTCCTTCCAGCTGTGGACTGCCTGCCTCTAGATTTCTTCAGTGTTAAAAAGAAATAAACTATTAATTAAAATAAAAAGCCATTCCTGCTTTGTTTTCTCTCTTTTACTTTATGACAAACCTAACCCCAGCTGGCACAGTTTCTGCTGCAGTGGCCATTATTATAGTTTTTACACGTGGTCTGTCACTGGGGTACACATTTACCTGCTGCAGGGAAGTTTGCAGAAATGATTCCAGCAGGAAGAAGAGGAACCATGATGTATAGTTTCATGCAACAGTTACTGAGCTCTCCTACTATGGACAAGGCACTGTGAGGGGTTCAAAGATGAGTGAGTCTCATCCCATAGAGCTCAACTACCAAAATTACGTGGAGGAGGTCAAGCAGTTGTGTACTGGGTTCGTTGTGAGTTTCTCCACCCCATGTTACCACCACTCTGTTCATCCATTTGTTCTTTAATTTATTCATTCATTCGTTCAACAAATATTCATGAAGAACTTGCACACGTTGGGCATTGTATGAGGTGCTACAATCACAATGATACACTGAGACAGATGTGGCACGTGACCTTGTGAGGCTAACAGCATACGAGGAAACAGTGTAGTATGGGTCTACTTTGGGTTCCTATGCCTTTAAAAAAGTAAAATTGTAATAACATTATTTCTTATTTCAAAAGTGACATAGGGCTGGCTGAGAGGCTCAGTTGGTTAAGAGCTTGCTCAAGAGTTTGAGCTCTGAGCAACAGCGGTTCGATTCCTGGCCCGAGCTGAGCAGCCGCTGAACTGCCAACAGGTGGCAGGATGGCTCAGCTTAAAAAAAAATAAATAAAAGAAAAGTGACATATATTCAATAAACAAAGAACAGAAAATAATCACATGCAGTTCAGAAACAAATATTATTAACATTTTACTATTTCTCAAAAGTCTTAGTGTAAGTATACTTTTGCTTTTTTTTTTTTTTACACTGGGATTATTTTATCTGGGGACCTACTGTTTTCACTTAATATCGTATTGTGAACATTTTCCCAGGACAGTAAATAGAGCCCCACAACAACATTTTCAGAGAGGATCATGTGCTTCATTAAATGGAGCTGCTATAATTCATGCAATCCCCTATTGTTGGACATGTCGGCAGGTCTTAATTTCCGCTATTATACAGAACCACTATAGTGAATATTCACATAGCTAAACATTTTGTATGGTTATGATTATTTCTTTGGAATAGATTCTTAAAAGTAGAGTTGCTAGGTCCAAATGTATGTACAATTATAAGAGTTTTGATACAAGTCTTAATTAACTTTAAGTAGTTAAACAAATGTAGCTTCCTCCCTCCAGCAAGCCAAGAGTTCCACTGAGTGTTTTTATTTGAATAGAAAGACTTTACGAGGACTCCCGTAACATGATGAATCACTTACACCTTCGCATGAATCATTTTTCCAGATTGCTTCCCTCCCCAGAGAAAGAGCAGAACTCCTCGAGGAGGCAGGGATCTGGCAAAAGGCACAGAGAAGTGGGCCAGAACCAGTAACAGCAACTCTGGCAAAAGTCCTGCTCCAAGCTGAGACCGGCCTGGCGCCTGCAGACTGTGCTCCCAGCTGGTCAAGGTGAGCGTCGCGCTCACCTGAACGGCAGAGCACGCCAGTTCAAGCTCCAGGTCCTGTCGGTGGAAGTCAGCTCTAGAGAAGACCATGGCACCCTGCCTTCTTCAGCTTGATCGTCTCTCCCCCTTCACGTCCTCATGCTTTGTCATCTGATTGTTATTTTTCAAAATGAAAAGCGCTCTACCGGATTTTCTGTTTATGAAATGATGTAAACCCTTTGAAGTAATTTTAAAGCAATACACAGAAGGAGAAAGGAAAAAATAAAATCACCCTCAAATTCTGTTATCCAGCAGCATGACCCCTGTTCAGACACAAGTGAACATCTTCGGGATGCCTTGCTGCCTAAGCGATAGCTCCCATCCATTATTTAGCCTTATAATGAATTCATGAGCTAGGCAGCATTGTCTCTCCTTTATAATTATGGAAACTGAAGTGTTAGAGATGTCAAATTACTGGCCCAAGTTTATAGAACTAGTAAGTGAGGAGCTGGGGTTTGAACTTGACTCTCTTACTCCAAAGCCTGCAAATCTTAACCATTGCATGATGATTTCGCCAACTCTTCTGCATATATATATGTATGGTTGTCAGAAAAGTTATGATGTATTTTTTCTATGTTTTTC